CTCCCTGCCAGGGCAGAGAGAGAGAGGGACAAGCATCACTGGGGACCCTGGCACCCCATTTGCTGTTTGAGCTAGAGCCTTGAGACTCCTGGCCCTGTGGGTATCTAGAGCCAGGCTTTGCACCACTGGTGCTGCTGTGGAACCATGTGGGCCTATGGCCCTGCAGGGGACTCCAGAGCCAAGAGCAAGGATTGGGTGGTGTGTGCAGTGCAGGCAGCATCACTGTCCATGGCAGTATTTCATTTGGAAAGGAAAAGGAGGGAAAACTAGCTGGAAGTATTGGGAGAAAAGAGACAGCTGTCTCTCAGTGGAAAAGCCCCACACAGAGTGTGATTTCTAGGCTGTGGATGGCATAGCTCCATCCACCCCAGGTGTGGGGTTGCCGTGGGTCAGACATGGCTTCCCTTCACAGCCAGGATGAAAATGGTTCCGCAGAAAAATCCGTCATTCCCCTACCTTTTCCTCTTCTTCCTTCTCCTTTCTCTTCTGCTTGTCTTCTTTTTCTCCCTCAGCCTTTTGCTTCTCCTTTTCTTCCCTCTCCTCTTTCTTGTCCTTTTCCTTCTCCTCTCTCTCCTTGTCTTCCCGTCCGAACCCTACAAGAGGGTACAGAGGAAGGTTCATTGCCAGCATCCAGCACACACAAACCCAGCAGGTCCCCCTGAGTCCACACCAAACACTCACATTTCAGGATTGTCGACATTTCACCGAAGCCAAAGAGCTCTGGGGCACAAGATGGTCACACACCAAAGGCACAGAGAGGACCTAAAGGAGCAGCTAGAGAGTGGAGAAAGGAGAAAGGTAAGCTTTTCAGGGGTGAAAACACCTCCCTGGACTGATCATTTTTGCAGAGGTGCACCTACTATCCCCAAAAACAGCAGAGAAGGGGATCAAACAGTCTGTGGCCTCCACAAAAACCAGACCTTGTGCCCAGCCAGGCAGCCCCCATTTCCCCAGGGAAGCAGCAAGTGGCGAGTGATGGAGGCAGAGAAATCTCAGGGCAAATGGGCAGGGAGATGCCTTAAACCTCCCATGAGCAGGTGCAAATTAAGGAAATATTTCAAATTATATGAGGATGAAGCAATAAAGAGCAGGTGTGGGGACTCCTAGGAATCCCCAGCAGAAAGGAGACCCTTCTCTGGGGACAGGCTGATGTCAGGGAGGGAGATGCAGACAGCAGCAAGCAGAAGACAACCTGAGAGCAAGGGTAAGAAAACTCCAAGCATTGATTAGGTGCCTGAAAGGTGGCAGATGAGAAGAAAGGAAAGAAAACAACTTGCTTTAAAAATAGCAGGCCCAAACAAACCCCATGAAATAGCCCAGGCAGGTCAAACCCTCCCTCTCATACACAAACAGCACAACAGGGCAGCAGGGGCAAAGGGATCACATCCCTTCTGCTTGCAGGGAAGAGCAGGGTCCTTCCCTGCCCCAGCAAGTAATTAGGAAACAGCTTCTCTTCCAGCCAGTGATGGAGGGAGGCAGAATATTAGTGGGTTTTTTCAGTGGTTGATATTAGTGGCTCTTTTAAAAGAGTCAATTGCAGCCTCTGAGCTGATAACACTGATTTGTATTTTCTAGACAGGTTTTTAAACCCCCAGGATGCTGCAGGGGACGGGGAAGCAGTGGGGTTTGGGGTGGCATCAGGGGAGAGACAGATTCAACAGGGAGAGAAGGAGTGTGGGAAATGGCTGATAAAAGACGTAATCAGTGTAAAGTTAAAATCTAATTAATAATGAACAGTAATCTAATTCATCTCCGTAATTAAGAAGTGCAACTACTAATTGAAAATAATTACATTTTAATCTAAAATCATTAAAATAATCAAACGTTAACAAAAGAAAAGGCAGCCTCTGGGAAGGTACAGGGGAAGGTGCAGGAGGTGTAGCTGATGCCCTGATCGCAGGGTCTCCTCACCAAAGCTGCTCCACAGCTCCTGTGGTGTGTGCCCAGCCCCAAATCCAGGATGATGCCCCTGCCTTGTGCCTTCACTGCCAGAGGGGAGTAGATAGGGAAGGCACATGGTACAGAGAGGGGGACATCAAGCTTTGCACTAGGAGATGGGCAACTAGACCAAAGCCCAGCAGCCAGGGCTGGGAAGGGGTAGCACTGCCCAACATATGCTAAGAAATGGCTCTGGGGGGGGGTTACAACCCCTTAATTCGCTTCCACACATGGGGGACCAGCCCTGCTGATTCCCAAGAGGTGGGGTAGGCTCTCACACTCCAGGGCTCTGACAAACTCCTATCTGGGGATGCCACCCAGCCCTCTCTGCAGCCCTGGGTCATGATGGCTGCCATTGCTCAGCTTTTCCCCATTCCATCCCATCCCATCCCATCCCATCCCATCAGATCCAGTTTTGCCTGCTCCTTCCGAGCCTTGGCCACCACGGGTTTCGAGCAGGCAGGTTCACCTGACCCAGATGAGCTGGTTCCCTAAAACCTGGGCAGGCAAACCAGCAAGACCTAGCAACCAGCTGATGGTTCCACTGACCAGCTGCATTGCCCTCCTCAGCCGAGCAAAGTGTGAGGTGCAGCTGGATCACACCTCTGGCTCATGGATCAAACCTGCATATTCATACCTCTCCAGATGCAACAGCCTGGATGGCCTTACCCCCCAGTCACAACAGGCTCACAGGGCACAGTGAGCCCACTCCCATCTCACCCAAGGGACTGAAGTCCTTCCCACAAGGCTCAGGCACGATGCCCCATTGCCATCCCCAAGACCACATGGGGCACAAGCTGTCCTGCTGCACCCTCTGCTTCACCCTGCTCTGCTTATCCTGCCTGTAAAATACATATGTGAGCCTGTAAATTCCCAGAATGGCGTGAGGGACAAAGGAAAGCGCCTTACCTGGTGCTGAAAAAGACAAGTGGCCTCCTCGATGCCTGGCTGGCAGCTACCAGGGATCTGGGTATTTGAGTGTTGTGGTCTCCTCCCCAGTCCCACTTTTGGAGTAGAAAAACTGGCTCTGCCACCTGCCACGGACAGCACATGACACCGGAAACGTGACCAGTCCCATTGGTACCCACAGCAGGCATCGCCTCCAGCACGGGCAGGAGCAGAAAGACCTTGCAGCAAGCAAGTCAGGGCAGCTCTGGAGGCTGCAGACAGCCACGGGGACCAGCCCTGGGACCAGCGAGGGCACTGGGGACTCTATCTGGGGATGTGCTGTGGCCAGGGCCCTGCTGGAAGTGCAGAAAAGGGACTTTGGAGTTGTCCTTAAAACCACGGTGAGAGGGACCTGCAGCAGGCAGGTCCTTGCTCCCTCTCGGTGGGAGGTGTCAGGTGACTCCAGGAGATTCAGGCAAGGCCAGACCAGGCAGAGCTCAGCACTCCCAGCTCCCTCCAATGCTCGTCCTTGCTGCTGGCTTTCACTCCAACATATCATTAAGTAAATACCTGTCAGCAGAGAGCAGTTACCAGCAGGTCTAAACACTTGCATAATGTGTTCTCCCTCTAATGCAATGCCCTCATTTCTAACAGCACCAGTATGGGATAATAACAGTAACAATAATGTCAGACAGGCCTTGTGTACCCGGCTAATTTGTTTTCTCCACCTAATCGGAGGTATAACCTCTCCCGTAAGATTTGCCCCATTTAACACCTTAAACTCTACAACAAAGTCATTTGACTTTCATTTACAGCAATTGCGGCGTGGAGCCCCCTCCCAGCAAGTGAGACTAACCCTGGGTAAGCCCTGCAGGGAGCAAGCAGCTGTACAGTGGCCACCACTGAGCTGCTGTCAGTGCTGAGCTGCAAGGGACAAGGAAACTCCCAGAAAACACGAATTGGCACCGTACAGGCCACCTATGTCCTCCATTTCTGTGCCGAGGAGCCTTTGGCTGCAGGACACCAGTCTCTGCTTAAATCCCATGATCACAAACCACTGTTTATTTAGGATCCAGCGTACACACCTGAGAAGGAAATGCCAGAGCTCTCCCCTTCCTGCCTCTGAGTCAGGCCATGTAATTTGTGCTGTGGGTGACCTGGGACAGTTGTCCCCTTGTTGTCACAGCCACCAGTGGCAGCGTAGTTGCTGCTTCTTCCCAACGAGGACAACTGCTCATCGTGTCACAGGTCCTGCTGCTACAGAACATTCAGGTTTTAATAATAGAAAATGAGTCCCTGGGAGGGTGGTTGGGCAAGGACTGGGAGCACGTCCCGAAGCCCATCGGCAAGACCAAACCTTTTTTATGTTTTCAACCTTTCCACAGCAGCTGCCAGGAAGCAGCTTTTACAGCTGACAGAATCTCTCCCAAGGAAAAAAAAAATAATTGTGGCAGGCTTTTTTTTTTTTTTCTCCTCCAAGTCACTGCCAGCATCTTAGCCTACTCTTATCTATTCTCAGCCACCTCTCACCTCCCCAAACACTACCAGAAGTGCTCAAATTACTGTCAGCTCTCATTAGGTTCACGAGCAAGGCAAGGCCAAGCAGTAAGACCTCCAGACAGTGGGATGCTGAATTCTGATGAGTCCTTTGGGTAGGTGTGTTTCAGCAACTGTGGAACTGTTTTTGTTGGCTGTCTATTGCAGCCCTTGCACTGGCACACAAATGAAGCTGGAGCATGTGTGATTATTGGCTGCTATAACAAAATCCAGGTGGGCACAACTGGAAAAATTACCGTCTGCATCTTCAAAAAAATCACTTCATTTCCTTTAATTATTACACTATTCTGCACTAAAGCACTGCAGGTGAGTAGATTTTATCTGCAAGAAAAACAGCTGCTGCTTCATAAAAACCCCATTGCCTTTATTTCTTCTCTTCTGACATTTCTGTAAATTTTGGCTTTGTGGCAGGAGCAAAGCTGCCATTTTGCACTGATGCAGACACTGGGAGTTCACAGGAGGCAACACCCTGCATGAGAAAAGCCCCAGCTGTCCTGACCCCAGAGCTGCACCCAGCCCTGCCCCAAAAACCACAGTCAGGGCTGAGAAAAAACCCACTGTTCTTTCATTTCATTCATGCCCACTGCTACCTTGATAGCTTTAAACTGAAACAGTTGTCAAAACAAATCCTTTATTTAATAATGTTATCCACCAAAAGAAGAAAAAATACAGAGTTTATTGTAGTGCAGATTTTTTTACCCCAGATACACTTAAGTCCAGTTTTCCTTAAGATGAGAAACCCCCCTCTCTCTTTAGAGATCTGATCGGTCTAACCATGACTAAGGCAAGGCTTTTTCCATATATATATAAAGTCAGAGGATCAGCCAAAAGGTATTCTAATAATAAAAACATTTCTCTACTGCACAAATAGAGCAGAGGAATGCTAAGCCTTCAGTATAGCAGAGATGTGCAAGACCTGCTAAAACCCACAGGATTTTCGAAAGGGGATTTGAGCATCATTGTTCCCAATGAGCGAGTGCAGAGGCAGGTGTGACACTCAGTCACCTCTGGTTAGCTATTATGGACTTCTTGAAATTCCATTTTAGCTGTGCATTTCTGCTCTTGTGATTCCAACAGAGGCTGCTCCCTCCCCATTGGTAGGCTCAAAAGGTAGAAACTGGAAAAAGGAACAAAGCAGGGAACTTGCACAGCACAAAGAAACAGATACCGTATGTGGAGCAGCTTCTGAGACAAATTAGGACTCCCACTAACAGAACCAAATTGCTTCCTCTCTCCCTACTTTAATATACCTTCCAAGAAGGATCATTGCATTACAGTGTTTTTACACAGAAACAGAAGAAAAGCAGTATGTGAGTTTGTGAACAGTCTGTGGCTGACATGTCAGGCTGCACTGAAGAAGGGGAATCCTCCTGCTAAATTCTCTCATTAAATTGCCCAAACACAAATCAAACCCTCTTAGCCAGTTCTCATTTATTGCTATACAGCCAAGTACCTGCATTCTTAGGGCCAGATCAGCGTTTTCCCAGCTCCTGCTGAAGCAAGCAGACTGTGAGAGAATGAGAAACAGCACCCTGGTGAGAGTCTCTGTGCCACATCCCTGAGTCAGTACAGACATCTTCAGGAAGCCGGGGCTTCTCTTCAGCAACAACAGCTTGATTAGGAATCCTCTCTGCTCTATTCTTTCCAGCCTAGGAGCTGCAAGGTTCATAATCATAAATATTTGCCTTTCCTTGCACCTCCTAACCAATATTCATTTCAACATCAGCGCAGAGCTATCAGGAACCTAATTATGTCTGACTTGAAGATCACACCATGATTTTAGCTAACTCTTAACTAGCCAGCTGCTACTCTTTTCTCCAGCACTGGAGAAGCTCTCTGGACTGTGAAGACAAAGAGCTTGTTAACACATACAGCAGAGAGAATTCAGTGCAAAGATACAGACAGTCCATGAAAACTGAGAAGCAGTCTGCACTTTAAGTCTGTCACGTTGTCCACCAGCCTGGACTATGCTAATCACATCTCCCAGTGTGCTGTAAGAGCTGTCACTGCCAGACTGCACTTAATCACCATTCCTGCAGCAGCGAACAGAGTTCATCTTTTTCCCTTTAATAAGAGCCATTACATCATTCTCCAGCACGGAAACTACGAAGTGGGAAGGTCAAAAAGTTCTTAATTAGAAGGATTTTTATTACTGTGATGGTTCCGTTCTAGCCTCAATAAGAGAGATCTGCAGTACAGGCAGCAAGAGCTGGAAGGCATCTTGGATATAGGAAGCACTATTTGAAGCCTGTGAAAACAAAAATCAAAATACACACATGAATAATTACACTGCCAATCGGCTTTACTAACCACATACTCATTTCAAACAGCATTGATTAATGCACAGAAGAAACAGAAGCCTAGTGCTTGTTGGATTTTAAAGGCTTTATTCCAGAAACCAATTTAATATTAAGTTTTTCAGGGGATTTATGCCACTAGGCAAAAAAAAGGCAACTGGCTTAAAAACTGCCAAACAAGATCAGGTGCAATCCAAATGCAGGATACTGTTCTCAGTAACAGATGAATAGAGTTTATTTCTAAGTGAAGCACAACCACACTGTGGCAGGAAGGAAGAACACACCAACGTGAAACACTCCTTTCCTACCACACTGCAGAGCTGTGCAAACACTGAGAACCACCTCATGGCAAGGAAGTGTTGGGACTCTTGCATGCCAATTTCTGAACTTGTCTAAGGTGTGACTTTGGACATTTAAATTCTAACATTCCAGACTGCTGAATTCAATACGTGTCTTCTGACCCATGGAAACTGTCAGCTGACACGACACAAAGCTCACTCTTCAGTAAGTAACTCACATCCTGTGCAAATCCAGACATTTATTAAAACTTTCAAGTTATTAGACAGGTAAGCACAATTTTAGACCGTGGGTTAGAGAACTTGGCATGCATAAGGATACTGAAGTGGAAAGAACCAGCACATCTATTTTTAAACCATTAGCCTAAAGTTTTAATGTTAGCACAACTGACCTCCAAAAACACTCCAGTGATTAAGGGATTAAGCACATCTGCTTTCTCTTTGACCTGCAGAGATCAGACATATATTATCCTGATTGAAAATTTGATAACATTTCTTCAAGCAAGATAAAGCTAAATCCTCACTAAGTTTAAAATCACCACTGCTCCCTTGACTAGAGCAAAGCTAAGCCACAAGCTCAGCTGCCTTGTAGCATGCAAATAAGGACAAAGTAACCTGCATGTGCCCAACACAGGTCGTGTATGAATACACACATCACATCTTCAGATGCACTGGGGACAAGTGGAGAATTCAGAGATAATGACACTCTTCAGTAACACCTGAGTGCTCTGGAAAATCCACAACAGGATCACAAAACTTATTTGCCTCTGCCTCCTTAGTACTGTCACCCCAACTCCCACCCACACTCTGTGCCAGGCTGGATGCAGCAGGAGACACACAAAACCTCAGCACACAATCTGGGGAACACTGGCCTAGAAGATGAGTTCACAGGAAAAAAAACTGCATATGTCAACAAGCAAAGACAAAAAGCACTTCGTGGCAAAGATCCCAAGGCTGTAATCAACCAAACACATCTCATTCCTGAGAACTGTGGTGCAACTCTTACCCCTGCCGTTGTTAAGCACGTTGTAAACTCTTTAGAGAAAGCTGACAGTTCTTTACACAGCATGATTGTCATTCTGTGGAAGAAGGGAGGGAAAACCGTGAAGTAAATACAGTCCTCAAGATGAACTTTCTTTTAGCATTCCTCTAAAACATAAATGCCTTGTTTCTATGCTTATAAAATTAAATTAAACCAAACCTGACACGGAGCATAGAAACGGTGTATGAAGATTCAGAAGCTCTCCAAATAAATTAGAGAGGGGATATAAATAATTGAGGCTGAAGAACTGAAGCAGCATTTAGGAGACAGACACATCTATTATGGAAGGAGCAGTACTAACTTGCCTTTTTTTTTAACTGGCAAGTGTCATTTTCTGAATTAGAAAGTGATGCATATTTCATACACACGCCAAGTATCTCCTGGGCAGTAACTGTACAGTCTCATGTATCTGGCATACTAAATGATTAACAAAGAGAGATTCAAGAATCACTTTTATACAACTGCTTTGTCATGTTTTAAATGTCTGTCTACTGACTAGCACAAGCTTAGGGCAAACATTCTTCTTGACTACATAAAGCTTTCAAGTAGGGTTTCTTCCTTCTTAGCAGGAAATGTCTTTAAGCCAGAAAGAGACGGCCGAGTTCTGCTGGAATAAGTGATGCAATCCATCACAAATCTGCCAAATTCCCAAATCTGAACACCCATGCAGAATTCAAGAGCCCTGCATTGCATGGATTTGCAAAGAGTTATCAGACAGTTTAATCAGGAAGTAAATAATTATATGCTATACATTTACTAAGGGATGCACTCACTGTGAAAGGGACTTGGCTCTGTCTGTGGCTGTCACCTCCTGTTTCTGACCATACAGAAACAAAGCTGCAGTTTTGTGAAACATTTCAATGGAGCAGGCTGTCAGTTCTGCCAGGCTTCTTATGGCAAATGCATGAATATCCTGCAAGAGTGAAAAAGATTCCCTATACCACACAAAAACTAGCAGCTTTAATTGTTTAAAACAAGTCATTCACACAACATACTATCACTACGCTGCCCTTTCAGACCTCAGAACCTGCACAGAAATAGAAACCCATAAACTCTGGGAATCAGAACTGTAACTCAGCAGCCAGATAAACACTCTGCAGTCAGATATTCTCTTCCTTCATTACCTCTACTGATTTTTGAGCATCCTGGTCATCATCTCTGGATTCTGTTTCTTGGTTTTCTTCACTCTCTTTTTCTTCTTTAGGAAGACTACTGTTGAATTGTGCTATCCATTCATGAGCAGATGTCCTCACCTGTATGAAGATGTGCCACAGTATTTAATGACTAGAATGAAGCCTCCCTGCACATCAAAAGACATGGAATACTGGATCTCTCTATAGGAAGGAAGAAGCTACAACTCCTGAGCTTGTGAGAAGAACCAGGACAAATGATCGCCCAAATGATCTACTAAGTGCCTTCAGGACTTTGTAGAGAGTTGGCTGCACTGATGTAGTTGAGGGCAGTTATTTCTCTATCACCAGGCGCTGGAGTTTACCAGCAAAACCAGACTCTCAGAGGTGCTTTGAAAACATGTCTGCAGAATGCTGCTGCCACTTGGTGGATATGAAGGGTAGTGAAATGAAGACAAGAAAGGTGATTCTTCCTCTCTTGGACACAGTAAAGCCAGGTGCTTTGTACCAAGAGGAGGGCTTCAGCTCATGACTGCAGGTTATTTCACAGTGGTGGCTGAAGGTTTGCTGCTCCTGGTTATCTTTGCCACCACCCACAAGTGCCCAGTGACAGGGCAAAGACACGCTGGTGTCTTCACTGGCTCAGAGCCAAAGACATGACAGACCAGGATTTTGTTCTATAAAGTTCAAGGCCCATCTCCTTTGCCTACCATTGTCAAAGGACCTAAAACATGGCTTCATGTTTTCATGCACTTGATATTTTCCCAAGCAAAGCAGGACTGAGCAGCAGTTCCTGTGGGGAATCTCTCCAGCTTTTCAAAGATGAGAAATAACTCACCGTGATCAGTTTGTCCGGCCTGGAGGAGACGTGCAATTCTGAAAACAACTCCGTAACTTCTTTTGTGAACTCCTCATCTCCTAAAGGACAAGGAAGGTTAAAGAATCCACACAAAGGACAGGTTCAGGAATAAGCAGAACTTCAATGCACAACTAGTTCTGCACAAGTCTGTCAACTGTTTCCTTTATTTCTCTTTGAATCATCACCTCAGGCAAAAACGCATCAAAGCTAGTTTTTTCAAACACAATTTCTAAGGTAAGTTCTGCCAAGGTGGAGACATCAGTGCCTGAAGGTTAGCTTTTGCCTTCTCAATTCTGGTTTTGTAGCTAAGGTAACTTCATTTTTTTATTATTTTTTTTTAGTTTTTACAGGCAGCCTTTTATAACACACTAACTTGCACATCACCTTGGAGAGCCTGAAATATCACTTAGAGCCTATGGTTCTCCTATTATATATGGCAGAGCAGATGTGAGATCCATTATGTGCAAATATAAAGGATACATTAAATGTTGAACGATAGCAAGTGCAGGTGTGTAAGCCCTCCCTGATGAGCATTTAGGTAAAAGCAATGCAAGAAATTTACATTTAAATCCACGTAATCCTCAAGAATCAGAGCTCTTGCATGTGAAGGCACCTCTGAGTCTTTTGGTCTGTGTGCTAACCCTCATTTAAAAAACAAATAAAAAGGCTTTTTGCTTTCCCACAGGTTGGACATCTCTATTCACAGTCTTTCCCTACAGGTCAAGGAAACCCAGCATCTCTTTGAATTTGCATCTTGGCTCAGGGTCAGTACGAACTGTCCAAGAGTCAAACAACTGTAATCCTGCTCTGGCAAGAAATCATTCCTGCTACAGAATTACTGTACCTTTTGGTACAGAACTACTGCACAGCAGCTTTCCAGAAATGGAGGGTGTTGCTGCCTGTCATGCCCCTGGCCACAGACGGCTTTAGGATTAAGCATCCAGCTAAAGAGAAACTTAACTTCAGTGTCATGCCCACTGCTAGTGATCAGGGCTGGTTGGCTCTGCACTGAGAATTTCAGTGAGAACCAGCTTCTCCTCCCAGAACCTGGGACTCGCTTACCCTTCTTTTCTTCCTCTTCTTCTTCAAAGAATTCAGGTAAAGAAAATGCTTCTTTGAGTTGTTCCATTTCCTCCTTCAGTGTGTCCAACTCCTCTCCAGAGAGGGCATTCAGAACTGATTTCACCTAATTAGGGGCAGCACAGCCAAAGAGAGAATCATAAATCCATTCAGTAGGACAGAAAATGCAGCACTAGTTTACACTGCATGTAAAAACATGACAGATTGATGGTAATGAGAAAGTGGTATGTTCCTACAGGAAGGAGGAAAAAGACCTCTTTGTGAAGCCCTGATAGGTAATAATGGATTCTTAAGGAGTTACTCACATTTCTTTCACAAAAAAAAAAGTGACTTCTGAAACT